ACCCAAACCATCCTATGATTCTATGATGAGATGTGTGGGGCAACTGACACAGCCACACTCCCAAACCCTTGCCTTGGTACACTCAAAAGAGGTGTGTGCTCCTCTCCCTCCTGCCATGAAGCAGAAGGGCATGTGAGCGGTTGTGGGCTTGCAAGGAACCCCCTAGGATCTGTTGGGCTAGGTCATTGAACATATGGGAAACTATGCACTTCCTGACATTGGAGCCTGACGAGGCACAGGCTGCTGGGGACAGTTTTGACCTTCTTTGCATGGTTTGTTACCTAATTCATCCTGTGCATTTCCCTCGGACTAACAAGAGCAGAGCGACACTCAGAAACAGCAGCACGGGATGATGTACAGACCCACAGTACTCCAGTCAGTACTCCAATGCAAACAATTTTTTTTTTCCCCCCAAAGCACATTTTGAAAGGAAGCAAAGTTTTAAAATAACATAAACTAACAAACAGTCAGGACTTTCCACTGACCTTTCACTTCTCACTGTCCCATTTCCTATCACTATCAGTACACTTTCCTTCAAAGCCAGGGACAGAAATGAAGTTCCAGAAAACATTCTCTTTTGCAGTCACCCTGCACAGCCCTGTATACCATTATCTGGGACTTGTTTTCCCCTTTGTATTATTAAACCAAGGCCAAAAATAAATTTAGCAGTCAGTGTTAGCTCATTGACTCACCACTTCAATAGGGAGATGATTTTCTCTTTGTCTGATTCTTTTGAACCTACAGCTTTTTCTATGGCCCAGTGAAAGTTTTGTAAATAAATGTGTTGGACAGAGACTTCTGGCTTAGAGCTTATGGGAATTGATTAAATACAGACTTGTTATGCAGAGGATAATATGCCAGACTGAATACCAGACTTCCAGGCATAGAAGTAGTTCAAAGTCAGGGCACTGGGAATAATTTATTAAAAACAATTCAGGATGTACATCTATTTCTCAGCATCACCCATATTCTTAAAGAAGGGCTTGTTTCGATCTCAGCTCAGATGATAATCACAGATTAGATATATTGTTCAATATTAACCCGCAATATTCTGTAACCATGGTGCCTTTTTATGCCCACCAAAACCAGGATAAATTCACAGTAAACTGCTCTGAGAGAGCCACCAACCCTTTCACCTCACATCATATTAATTTCACTAAACAGCTAAAGTGAGTTTCAAACAACCACTGCTTGTACTAAAAAGCTCTGAAATTCAGTATTTAATGCTTTTTTTTTTTTTTGCATTCAGTTGAGTTTTGCTAACAGACACTGACTTTAGGTAAAGCTCCAGCCCTGGCTAGATTAAACACCATTGAAGTGCAAAGGCATGGGCTAAATGACTCACGGAAAAAAATAGCTGAAAATAATATTAAATAAAGCTCTTCCTCCCCAAGAAGTACCGCTATTAAGAGCGGTCAGCAGCTAACAGTGATTGCTAACAGCACCAGGGTCCAATCCTGCAAGGTGCTGACAGTGGGATCGGGGTGTTTAGCACCCACCTTATTGTCTACCTTTCACTGCAAAACTCGGAGTCCTCTCCATGAGCAGCTTGTGGTCAGGGGGATCTATAGACATCTCCTTCCCTTTCATTTGCTTCTGAAAGTTTGTCCTCAGAGTGTTTGCTGCTTTTGAAGCAACTCTTTGGGAATCAGAGCCAAATAATTTCCTCTGTGCTATTTTGCTTCTTTTTTTTTTTCTCTGTTTTTAGAACGGTGTTTTCACAATTGGAGCAAAAAAAGCAGTTGAAAGCATCTAAGCGGAGGTGAAACTGAATGAGATCCCTCAGAAGCAAAGATTTTGTGGAAGATCCCATGGGAAGGGGATTCCTTTTAGGAAACATTGAACCCTGCCATAGAACCGAACCCAGGGCTCTACAGCTCGGCTTAAGTCTCTGGTAGGGAGGCGCCTACCCCCTATGGAAATTCAGAGGCATTTCCTATAGGAGAAAGGGATATAAGAGTAATTCCTTGTCATCCTTGGGAAGAAAGGTGGGGGCAGGAGCCTCCCTCTGCAAAACGTCTGGGGGTATTGTTGTATTGCAAGGAAAGTGCCTGATTTTGCCAACCCTTTACTTGCAGAAAGGGATTTCTAAGCACAGGGTCAATCCTGGCTCTGCCAACTCCCAAAGGAATTTTGCCATTAGTTCCAGGGCAGTCCCATGCAAAAATAAACCAAGAGAGAAAATCAGGACTTACTTACCATGGGCTTCTTGTACTCATTGGGCTTGATGCAGCGGACAAAAAAGGGCTGGCACACGCTGAGAGTCCTCATCAACAGCTCCAGCGACCGCTTGAACTGGCTGCTGAGCGTCGGTGAGCGCTTCCTCGTCTCCGCTCCCTGCAAAACCGCAGCGGAGCAGGCTCAGGAAATGAAAGGATAACAGTGCTTTTCCCCTCTGGCCATGTCCCCAGGAGCCTCCCACAACAGCCAGGGCTGGAGCAGGGCCAGAGGCGGTTGAGTGTTGCAGCAGGAGAGGGGCAAGGCAGAGCCGAAGAGCTTGCAACGGCCAGACTCTGGCAACCTGCTCCGTCTGCCATCATTTAATTTCTCCTGATAAAACCTCCCTGTGTGACTGGCAATCCTGACTGCCCTATGCAGAGACAGGAGGAAGATCTGCCCGTGAGAGCAAATAGTCCCCTCTGAACCCTCAAAAAACTTTGTATGGCAGCTTGGGGTGATGCATTTGCCCAGGGATGCTCCTTGGGAATGACTTGCGCTTCCCTGTCCCCATGTATCACAGCACGGTCATGCCAACCCCACTGATGTGGTTCCTCACGTCAGGCTGAGCCTCTCCTGCTCCCTGGGGTGTAGAACCAGAGAGCCCATGTAGGGTGAAAAACAAGCCAGGTACACACTCACTGCAGGGTGACTCTGCAACAGCGCCAGAAACCGCTGCTAAGTTCTATTTCCTCAGCCTGTACTACTGGGAAGGTTGATGTTGTGTTTGGAAAATAATATTAACTAGACTAAATGTGATGGTTATTTGGGGTAAATCAGGATGATTTTGAGTATTTCCCTTGGTTTAGCTGCCTTGGTTAAATTAATAATCCAATCTCCAGTTTGGGGCAAGTGTTTCTAAAGCAGAATGGAGAAGTTTCCCTCCATAGCCCCTTCTCCCTGCCCTGGGAGAACCTTGTTAAACCAGCTCCAGACTTAATGAAGCTCCCATCTCATTTTCTGTGTCAATCACTGTTACCTCAGCTCAACACACATCAGTCACAGTGGAGCTGTGTGTCTCGTAGGGTTTGGTGTCCAGGGAACCTTTGTGGGGTGCTGCTGGTGGGTTGGAAGAAGAGTTGGGATGCAACTCTCTTCGAATCGAAAACAGGGCAAACTGTGATATGAGCTAATGGAGAGGGATTTCCCAAAGGGAGGATTCCAGCGGGATTTTAATGCACGTTTCCTCCAAAAATCCTCTTCTTTGCAGGTGGTCAAGTCATGCATAGAGTTACAAAGTCCCCATTTGCACTGGCCTTGCTGCTATGTTTTGCAAGGTGGTGAGTTATAATTTCTACTTTTGTAAAATCTTCAGGTGTGCTTCATCATATTAGCACTAATAACCTGTCAGATAACATTCCCACCCTCCAAAAAATGAGGAACTTCATAGAATCACAGAATAGTTTGGGTTGGAAGGGACTACCACTATCATCTAGCCCAACCCCCCTGCCATGGGAAGGGAATTTGCACAGCTCGGGTTGGATATGATGTTGAGACAAACCCAATCAACACAAACACAAAGTCATCATGGAATTCCAACAAGAGAAAACCCAGCTCAGGCACACACCAGAAAAACCTGGCCTGCTTGTCCAGGAGAGCTCGGCAGGGGTCTATCAGTGATCTCTTGCAGCAAAATCCTCCCCCAAAGGACAAACTGTTAACAAATCTCAAGTAATTAATGGATGCATCTGCTACCTGCTGAGCACTGTAGAGTCTGGTGCTCACATTCTGTCACAGATTTGAGGAGGAATAGGCTGTTTCAGCAAGAATCCTGGGTTTGGATAGCTTTGATTAATGTTTTCTTATCACTTCGCTAATTATCTGCAAGGAGTCACCTCTGTGAAATGTGAAAGGACAGCCACGGGGGTTAGAAGCAGCAACAGATGCAGGAGCAAGGCTGGAAGCAACGGTGTGTTAGCCAGGTTTGTCAATTTGGGCTTGGCTGGGAGAGGTCATTTTTCAGCCGTGGTGGTAGGAAGGGTGCAAGGCTTCGTACAAGGGTCTACAAGGGAATGCATGAGCGGTTTGCTCTCAGACAGCAAGACCTGCCTCTCTGGGTTGCTGATGCCTTGCATTTCTTTCTTGCATGCATCCAGCTCTGGTATAAAGCAGTGGTGCCATCTCCATCCTTGGCACTGGGGCTGGAGGAAAGAGACAGTGGCCAGAAGGCAGCTTGTCTTCCTATCAAAATTGTCGGAGCAGTCTGGGCTCCTCCTGTCAAGACTGCACCATCCCATCCCTTCACATGCTTCCTGGGCTTGACATTTGTGCACAGACCCCTCTCAGGGGTGGGCACCAGCCACTTTTTTTTTTTTTTTTCCTTTGATGCTGAGCGCAGGCTGAGTGATTATTCAAAGCAGAAGAGAAAAATAAGAAAAATGTAAGAAAAATAAGATAATTACATGATTTACAAAGAAGCACCATCTCAAAAGAGAAGTTCAGAAAGATGTGCAAACCAGCATGATGTTCAGCCATGCTTCAATGCCACCTCTTTCAGCCACCTCAAGCCAGTTTGGCTTTAGAGGTGCAGAGACCCGTGTGGCTGTTTGCAGTAACACAAAGACTAAAGTCAAGGCAGAACATCAGCAGGACACAAGAGGATGTTTCTCCCGTATGACATCTCCAGTGGCACAGCTGGAGCATCAGAACATTTCCCAGCATTTCTGTGAAGATGTAAAATATCTAGGGAACTATTCAGACTCCTTCCTTTGTTGTCTTGGACATATTTACATAGAATCGTAGAATCACAGAATGGTTTGGGTTGGAAGGGACCTTAAAGATCATCCAGTTCCACCCCCCTGCCATGGTCAGGGACACCTCCCACTAGCCCAGGTTGCCCAAAGCCTCATCCAGCCTGGCCTTGAACCCCTCCAGGGATGGGGCATCCACAGCTTCTCTGGGCAACCTGGGCCACTGCCTCACCAGCCTCAAGGTACTTATCATGTGTCCAGGGCTGAGAAAGCAATAACCAGTCCAGCCTATCTATCTGCACCCTGTGGGTTCAGTGGGTTGAGGTGGACACAAAGCTGTGTTCAGTAGGATGGACTTAATACCAACCCAGAGCTCCAGCTAAGGAAATCACCATTTTTTATTTTTTTTTTAACATTCAAGCCAAGTAAACAGAAGCAAGGAGAAAAGCAGGTACAAGGAGAAGAGGCAGGAAAGGTAGGAGTTACTCCTGCTGTCCCTCTGCACCTTCTCGTCCCACTTTAAGGAGAAGGCTGCATGGTGCACCAGGATGGTCATGCTCAGCACTAGGTCTGCTGGGGAGATGGTGACCTGCTTCAGTGGAAACACAGAAGGATGAATTACTTAAGGTCAGTTAGGGAAGGAGAGAGAAGCATGTACCACCAGCAATGCTTTGGGGAAAGCTTCTGGACAAAGGATGGCCCTCCCATTTCTTTAGGATGGGAAGATCACTAAACTGGGCCATGCCAACATGACATGCTGTTTAGCATCATTTTTTCTGTCTCTGAGAAAAATGATGTTTGTTGTTTGTTATTTTGTTATATGAAATGCCATTGGGGTGGCTTCAGGTGACCACTCAAAGTGGAGGCCCCCTCACAGCAGGTTCTGCAGTGGCATATAGTGAAGAGACAGTCTCCCTCCTAAAGGCTGTGTGGTATGGAAAGTGCCTTCAGATGCAAAGTCGACATGGGCTACGTAACAGTGTCAAGTATCATTATTTTTGAACTAAACCCTAATTTTATAAAACATACTGATGTTGATATATTTGGAAAATCTTTTTTAGCTTGCTTATTCCATCCTTGCCTCATCGCCTAACAAATATGGTCAATTATTATTCATTAGAAAACCTACAAATCACAAGACTATAAGAACAACTAAGACAACAGAGAAATTTTTTTTAAAAATCATCAGTGTTACGTCCTCCATTTTCCTATATCTCCTGTTGTCTTCAGAGAAAAAAAGTGGCCTGGGCATTTCTGACAGATTTTGCATAACAATTCTCTCCTGGACTTAATTCCACCATAACCTAACTGGGAAAGGATTTTTTTTTTTTTTTTTTTTTTTTTTTTTGGTGTGTGGTATTGCTACAGCTCTAGAGCAGGGCCCAATGAGATGTTGCAATCCGAACATTTTGGAATCACGACACGGAGGGGTAGGATTCCAGCTCTGGAATGAATGGCTTTGGGTCATTTTGGGTCAGATCCCCCTCATTGGAATTCCAAGTCCAAACATCTGAGACATTGCAGAGGTAAGAAGGGTTGAAATTCAGCCCCATGCAAGGATCTGAATTTTGAAAGTCAGGTCTATCTCCAACATAATCCTCTGGCTATTGAAAAATATTTGTTGAAATGTGAGCAGAGTCACAAAGCTAACATCACAAAACCTTTAGCACACAGTATGCTACTCTGTGGCCAAATATCTAGCTATAAAGGTTTGGGAAGCTATCAGAACCAGTCAGGAGATGAGATGCAACAGAAAAGACCTAAAAAAGGTGCCAAGAGCCTGTTTCGATGCTCATGGCAAAGTTCAGTATCACCTATGTCTTTGAAGGCTTGGATTTGAGGTCTCCCCCGAACAAGAACTAACCCCCTCTGAGAATGATGGCATTTCCAAGAAACCCAGAAATGCAATCAAGGAGGCACTCTTCACACAAGAACTATCATCTTCCTGCCCCAAAAAGGGTAAAACAGGGACCAATTTGCATTTGCATGGAGGAATAATGTCCCACTGAACCCAACGGTGGCACCATGATAAAGAACAGCCAAATCCCACAGATGATCCATCTGAAGTTAATTAAAAATTATTCAAATGTCATAAAAAATCCTCAAAACTTTGGCTTGGGCTGGTTCTGATTTTATCCAAACCGCATTCCCATCATCACAAAGCTCTTCAAAGTTGAATCCTAGAAATAAACTACACAGTCATACACCTGTATCTATTCAACAAGATGTAAAAATGCTCTCCGTCACATTGCTCACTTGAAACGGATCCTCTATAGATAATGCAGGAAGAGGAATAAACCCACAAGAGCAAAGCACAATCCTGGCCAAGGAGAGGTGAAGATACAACAGAGGCATTCAGTTTACCTTTGGTGTGGGTGTGGGCGACTGGCCAAATGTGCTGGATGCATAGCCACAGAGAAACTACGTGAAGCACAGGTGAAAACAAAAACAAAAACCAACAAAACAGAGACAGAGAAGAGCAAACAGTGAAAAGAAGGAATAACTAAATGGGAGCCTGACTTTATTAGTCTTGGAGGTCCAGCTGTTAAAATATCTCATGATCAAAACACATTAATTCTCAGATTTTTGTCTATCCCCGTCCTGGCTTTTCCCCTTTGTCTCCATGTTCACATCCCTGAAGCTGAGGGAACTGCCACTGTCCAGCTCTTGCCTCTGGGCAACTACCCTTCTGCATCTTTTAACCTCGCTCGTTATCCATCCAGTTTCAGCCATCCCCGCTCCTCTCCCTCACACATCCCTGGTCTCCTGTGACCAGTGCTCTCCATACACAGTGATTGGTAAGATGCCAGGGAAAACACAAATTTTCACAAAAATTCTAAAGAAATCACTCCTTTCCTCCCTAATTTCAACCCAACAAATCAGATATTTTCTATAGAATTGAAATTTTTGCCAAGGGGAAAGCCCCCAGATTTCCTATTTGTTTTTCCCTTCACTGGTTTCCATCCTCCATTGCTCCTACCTGTTCCTCGAGCAAGCAGCGCTGTCAGACCATACCGGCTGATTCCTCAGAGGAATGATGTACAATCCCCACTCAATCCATCATTTCACCTGGCACCGCTCAAAGCAATGTTCCAACTCAGTGAACACACACAGATAGACCTCCTCCGTGATGGGCATGCGTAAACCAGGATTCACAGCCCCGTGTACTCCACCAATACCCAGCTCACCACACAGGTTTCATTGTACACAAATATTAGGTCTTTCAGAGACCAAACAATATTCAAATACAAACTCTTGACTAGTTTTCAGAGTTCTCTGATCTGTGGCTTTTTCAAGTTTCTGGCATATACAGATCCCATTTGAAAGACTGAACGTAAAGCAGATACAGACTTGCACTTCACTGACTCACAAAATCCTACAAACTCATCGATAAGCTCCTGAGGACCAAAGGTTGGAAGCTGTTGAGCGAAATACCTCATTGATTTATCCCTTAGTAGAGCAGCCACTTGCCTCTTTTTAAGGGAAGCTGTTGGATTTGATTGACCTGCCCTGAGTGTCTCTGGAAGGTTTCTCCGCAGATTGTCTCACTGATGCTCGGGGAAGGTGTGCACACTTCCGAGAGGAGCCTTTGCCCCAGCTCTTTGCTACATGCAGTCAATTCCCATGACCCATGCTCACCTGCTCCTTCTTTTGGGGAATGCATTTTAAGAAAGGAGATGCAAAGATTATTGAATTTTGGTGGAACTCAATGGCAAAATCATCTCAGCCCCATGCTGGATCCTGAGCAGGGGTTTTTTTTAGGGGATTTGTGCTCTCCCAGTTCACACTAACATTGTGCATGATCAGGGGAGCAACGTTTGCTCCTCTTCCAGTTTCATGCTAATCAAGTTACAAGCCTCTCATTCAAAAAAAAGAAAAGCAGAGATCATTAAAGTATCACAGCACAGGGACCACCGCTCAGGACAGATTCTGAAGGTGTTTAATGGACCTATAAAGGAAGAGGTTTATTTTAAAAAAGAAGATGCTTCAAAATATCTCAGTTCTCTGCTCCTAGACAATATCCAGGTGAAAATCTCAATTTTGCTGTTATATAGCTCCAACATCTTTTGAAGATGCTTGGTACGTGGTCCCATGAAGTCTGCATGGCTGTGTAAACCCAAGAGCTCCCTCTCATCGATTCCCCAGAGTGTATCTCTGCTCTGCCCAAAAAAGCAAGAAATCATTTCCAACGTGAACTGCAAAGCTCGTGGCAAAAATAAAAAGCAGCGAGGAACAAACAATAAAAAGCAAAGTAAATGGCAGCACTGGTGCTAAGGGAGTTAGCGTCTAGATGAGCAGGAGTATCCACATCTGGGGATAGCTCCGAACCCACTGGGAGTGTTGTGCCAATTGGTAGCTTAATCGGAGCTGACAAAAATTATCTTGTTCCTAATGAAGTCAAAAAGATACTGATCATTCGTTTCAGCAGGAGCAAAACTGAGTGGCTAAAGGTGATGAAAAAGGCTTGCAAAAGGGTCTGTAGCCTGTTTCTTTCCCTTAGCAGGCAAAGGAATTCAGCACTTAAATCTGCTTGGTGCTCCTGAAAGTCCCTAAGTTCCTTGGACCATCAGTGGCATTGGCCACTTGTTTTATTTTCCCTAAAAAACTTGGTTGCTTTGGAAATCTTCATCCCCAACCTTCTGCAGTCCCATGGCTCTGCCTAGGGAAAGGCTGGCGAATTCAGCCATAGCGACCTATCTGTGTAGACTTTCAGGTTCTGCAAGGCTGATATTTTAAAACTGTTTCTCCTTTAATTTTGGGAGCAGGGCTGATGGTGTCTCAGTAGGGAGATGGAGATGCTCAACTTACTCAAAAAATCATCATATATTTGTGTTATTAATAGTGAAATAGTCACTAATCTCAGCATTTAAGCTGATATCTCATTGACAAAAGCTCACATGTGGTGGGAAGAGTTAAGGCTGCAGCTGTGCCTTTCTCCAAAGCTTCAGTGCACATGCTCTTATCCCACAATGAGCACAGAGCAAGCACACACCCTCCTAGGGGTCTGCAATCTGGAAAGAGGAGCTTTAGAGTTCAGCTTTCCTACCTGGTGTCCCCTCTCTCTGCTGTCATAACAGTAAAACATGGCTGTTGGCTGGGCTCTCCCAGTCCTGCTGCGGTGCTTAAGGGACAGCCAGGTTGTCCCTTTGCTCTGCTCTGGTCTACAAGAATTTGGTTTTCACAAATTCACTCTATTATACACAGATTTGGAGTACCCAACTGGAGGGGCTGGCTCTTTTTCACTCAGATTTCTACCATCACAAACCTTATTGTTCCCATCCCTACACAATTAGGAGAGGAGCAATTCCTACACAATTAGGAGAGAAGCAATCACAGCACAAAATAATATTTGACAAACTGAACGCAGAGAATCGGGACGCTGGGTGCAGTTGTACCCATGACACCGCATGAATGCTTTCTGATGGCTGGCTCATACAAACAGGTTTGAAACACCCCAAACAGCATCAGGGCAATGTGACTCTTTGCAAATCTTCTGCCCCTTCCATCAATAAAGATCTTTTCTCGCCTGCATTACCATTGCCACGTCCGCTTGGAAGATCTGCTTGATGAATTTGTTTTTTGAGGAATGCACCAGCTGAATGATGTCTCCGTGCAGCGTGTCCCTGTTTTTCTCCAAGAATCCTAGAGAAGCAATGGGACAACACATAGACAGACAGATAACACAGTGCAACATGGCCAAGATGTGCCCTGTAAGCAGCTTCTGGGTTGCTGGACTACTGGCAGTTCTTGGGGAGGTAATGGGGGTATTTGAGCAGAGAAAGGGGGACCAAGAGAAGGGGGACAGAGGCACATTTTAAGAGTGGATCAAAAACACATGTGGTGCAAAGCATTGCAGTTCTGTCATGGACACACACAAGCAAAAGAGTTCATGGGCACCACTGAGGGGCCAAATCATTGCAGCCAGAAAAATGAGTATGCTGACACTACTACGGGCTGCCATCCTGCTCTGCTCCAACACAGCAGCAGCTCACCTTCCCCCGAGCATCCCCTCACACCTGGAGCTGCCCCGTACCTTTTGTTTCGTAGTAAACAATTCCAGCAAAGTGGTTAATGCCAAACTGGGTTTCATAGTTATTCTTTGGAGGAATGTAGTTGGTGTTAAGCTTGTGCTGGGAGTTCAGCTTGTGTAACATGGTGGCATCTGTACCCTGTGCATGCAGGAAAAGATCCAAAATTAACCAGGGTTTGTCCCATTAAAATACTTTTCCAATCAATAATGCATTTATTTTTTTGTCTTGGGTGACAATGTGTATTTATTTTGAGAAGAGATATGTTGGAGGGGAATATCTCACATGCAGAAATTAAAGAAACAGATTGAATATTGCTGGCATAGAATCACAGAATGGTTTGGGTTGGAAGGGACCTTAAAGGTCATCTAGTTCCACCCCCCTGCCATGGGCAGGGACACCTCCCACTAGCCCAGGTTGCCCAAAGCCTCATCCAGCCTGGCCTTGAACCCCTCCAGGGATGGGGCATCCACAACTTCTTCACCACCCTGGAACAGGCATGTTTTCCAATATTCAAGGTAGTGCTCCAAAAGAAGTATGTTAATATTATTTTCTCTTAAACTTTGTCAAAGGCTATTCTTGAGCCTCTTGCAGGCATACTCTTACACCAGAAGTGGTAACTTGTTTTAAGCATGGCTGTGGTACTCATGGAAGGAAATGTGACAGAGCAATAAAAGCTATGAATAGGTAACCCACTGGCAAATGTGTTTGGGGCTGATCAGCCCTCTCATAGGGTGCCAGCATGCAAAATGCAAAGGAAGTAAAAACAGGAGAGTGACTGCCAGCAGGACTGAGCCCAAAACACACCTTGGGGAACTTGCTCTCCTCATCAATGAGGGAGATTATATTCATGGGTTTGATGGCAATCATGTCCAAGGCATCCTGGTTATCAGTGAACTCGATGTGCTGCCAGTTGATGTTCTCCAGGTTGTACTCCTCCTGCTCTAATTTGAAGACGTGGCGCACGAAGAACTGCTGCAGGTTCTCATTCGCAAAGTTAATGCAAAGCTGCTCAAAACTGTGGAGAGACGGTGAAGGAGAGACCACTTGAGATCCACCATAGAATCACAGAATGGTTTGGGTTGGAAGGGACCTAAAAGATCATCAAGTTCCACCCCCCCTGCCATGGGCAGGGACACCTCCCACTAGCCCAGGTTGCTCAAAGCCTCATCCAGCCTGGCCTTGAACCCCTCCAGGGATGGGGCACCCACAGCTTCTCTGGGCAACCTGGGCCACTGCCTCACCACCCTCACAGTGAAAAATTTCTTCCTAATATCTAATCTAAATTTACCCTCTTTCAGCTTATAACTGTTACCCCTTGTCCTGTCAGTACACTCCCTGATAAAGAGTGTTCCCCCATCTCTCCAGTACATCTTCAGGTACTGGTAGGCTGCTCTATCCTTCTACATCTCTCTCCATGCTTGAAGCAGTACTCTCACACCTCATCAACCACTCAGTAAGGCTGATTCTGGCTGAGAATTTTCTTATTGTTTCAGATAATAAGTTTTTCTTCCTCAAAACAATGCTATAGCCATTTTATGTTTGTAGCCTAAAACAATCAGTTGGAGGTCATCTTCTGTGGCTACTATGTGGCCAATATTTGAACAAGTAAAAGAAGTATGCTGCCTGCTGCAACACAGAAGTGGTTAGTTCTGATAATCTCTCATACAGAAAAGAAGCTTCACCCAGTCCAGTCCTGTACATCTCAGGAGAGGTGAAAGGACTGCAAGACCTTGAGCTTGGGGTGGGGAAAGAGGATTTAAGACCTATTTCTCCTTTTGCAGGTTTCATACCTGTTCACAGTGAAGTTCTCAAAGCCAAAGATGTCAAGGAGTCCGATGGATCTCCTGACACTCTTGAGTTCCTGGGAAGGAGGTCTGTAAATTGCAGCGTTGATCTTCTCCACGATCCACACGAAAAGCCTCCCATAAATTCCCTGCAACATCCCAAATACAGAGCTCACTGAGATGGGTTAGCCGTTCACCCTGCATCATTCAGATGGCACAGGCTCCCATAAAGCATGGCCAGCAACCGGACAGTCCTTGAGAGCACTCTCACCAACATTTATACCAGACTCTTGGCATGGTTTAAAGCTTCAAGAGCCATTATGTAAATCTAGGAAAATGGACCTGAAAGCCTAGATAAAAAGAAAACTGAAAGCAAAATTCCTAAATTTTGGATCTATGGGTTTTCCCCAAAGCCAGACAGTCCTTTGGTTTCTAAACATCTCTCTCTACAGGTCAGCAGAGCCATGTTACATTGCTAGACAAGCCAAGGACATCTTGCCTGGACAAGGTGCTGACTTAAGTGTTGCAGCACTGTCTGAACAGTTTGCTGATTTAATGAAGCAGCTATTGCTGCCTCAGTAATTCCAGAACTGCAAGTTTTACAGCATTCTTCATTTCTTTCATATGAGCTACAGCAGTACTACCAGGAGGGGAGCCTGCTCCAAAGGTCCCTCACCACTAGAGAAGTCACCATCTGGATTTGCAGACCAGTTAAGTCTTAAGACAGCTAGCCTCATCTACCAGTCCCCCCCAGACAGAGTGGGGAACCCAAGTTGGCCAGAGCACCCACCAAAGACCAGAGCCACATTTACAGTGGGCCACTGATGCTTGTTTTGCAACCTTACATGGGGCTGCGAACAGCACAGAAGGGATGCACACCCACCTCATCAACCTCCACCACCCCAAAGCCTCAGGTGATGCTCTCTGTAAGTGCTCTGGTGACTGCTAAATTGCTCTATCCCCATTCCTGTGACATTCAGCTTTATTTACAGCTGCAGACATGCCCAAATCCTGAAATTCAGGTGTGGGCGTTACAAGTGTTGATAGAGCTGATTCATAGCGGCTGAGGATCTAACCCTGGGGCTCAACCTGGGATGTTTTCCTGAAGTTGAGGCGAAGTCATTTCAGAATGTTGGCTCCTTCCACAGGTCACTTTTGAGTATAGACAGTCTGAAGTCCAGATTGCAAATCCCCTGAAGACCAGACTGTCTAAACTCCATCCACCTCAACTCTGTGCATCCCCATAAGAAGATAGTTTCAAGGCCATCTGCTGATCTGATCTCACACGGGCATCAAGCGAGACACCTTTCTTGTGCAGTAGATGAGTAGATGCTCTGCTCTCAAAACTGGCAGATTTTTTCAGTTTATCAACCAGAGCAGAAGGGAATGCCCTTAAAATTTACCTTTACAAAAGCATCCCTCACGTCCAGCGCTTGTTCCATGCTGAGAGGGGTGGAGACAGTCTCACCCCTGGTGATGATAGTCCGGCTGGTAAGGCAGTTCATCACATCCTGAGGGTCAACCTGGCAAAGATACCACCAAACACAGCTGTTGACTCTACAACACGAAGAGTCCTTACAATGGCCTGGGCTACTGGCCTGAATGTGCGTGGCCAGAGAGGAACAGAGCAGCCCCCTGCAGCTGGAGGTAAACGGCTTTTCTTGGCTGTACAGGGCAAATATCTCAAATGATGTCATGGGCATTTTCAGAGAGAGCAACTAACACTTTTATACAGTGTTTTACTATGGAAAGTGTTCTTGTGACTTAGTTTGAGATGTTAAAGAGGTCTGGGGAGAGAAGATGAAAAAGCAAAGCCTGCAAAGCTGTATCCGACCAGCATGGATGTAGCTTTGCATCCTCTTGACCCCTTTTCATACTTCTAAGATCAATCCAGGGAAATGTTCACTCCCTAAAGTACATGAAAACAGCCTGCAGACAGCTGTGGATCACACCCTGGGACCAGCGGTCCTATGGAGATGAGATGGTGTCCCTGAGAGAGCCCCATTACCTGCTGGGGAGGTCACTGAAGAATCACAGAATCACAGAACAGTTTGGTTTGTAAGGGACCTTAAAGCTCATCTCCTTCCACCCCCCTGCCATGGGCAGGGACACCTCCCACTAGCCCAGGTTGCCCAAAGCCTCATCCAGCCTGGCCTTGAACCCCTCCAGGGATGGGGCATCCACAGCTTCTCTGGGCAACCTGGGCCACTGCCTCACCCCCCGCACAGGAAAACATTTCTTCCTAATATTTAGTCTAAAAGTTGGCAAAGTTTGGCTCACCCAGACCTCTCCAACCTCCTAGAGCTGGTGGTGCAATGAGACCCTGGCTCAGATGAAGATGTGCCACGATACTGGGAATATGGGAACAAGCCAGAGAGAGGAGAGCAGCACCGCGGAGCCACTGACCTCCAGCAGCGATGCTGCAGTGATTAGCGATGCTGACTGAACAACCTCGCAGGCATCCAGGTTGTCGTAGGTCCGAGCTGGGTGAAAGCAAGGCAGAGGGAAAGTCGTCAGCAAAGGGTACGGCTCTGCAGAAGGTAGATGGGGTGAGGGAAAGGGTCTTTCTCTACTGGCTCCATGTGATGGCCAGGCAACACCTGGCCATCAGAAAGGAGAGGAAAATTCATGCAGCTGCTGAAGTCCTGCTGTTGGCTGCAAAGGACGTGAACTCTGCTCTGCCAGCCACCCTAAATGACTGATGGGGTAAGTATGTTTCTAGCATCCAAGTGCTTTAGGCTTCTGTCTTCCAAAGAGGCTTCTAAATCACATGTCAAAAATAATTTCTGACAGCAGGGCGGTCTGGTACCTTTACAAAGGCATATCCAGACACACACATACTCGTCAAACGCTCCATTAGTCTCTCCTTGCAAAACCTGAGTCTACTGAATGCCCTGTGGCTACATTCATCCTCCCTAAATTCAAGAAAGGTGGATGTCACTGAGCATACTGGAGCCTGGCAGCCCTGCAGAGTGGGCAGGTGGACTCATTCCTCCTTTCTTGTCCTTACACGCCACAATAAGCACCTGAGTCCCTGGCATGGCACCCTGGCAGGTGACCTGGATACAACCGTCCATCCCTAAGCTTGGCTCCCTCTCACCACGCAGAATAAGCAGTAGAAGCACGCTGGACCACACCCCTGTATTTTGTCCTTTTACCTTCATATTGCAGGTTCCCCATGTGCAGGATGGCAGCCAGTAGCTTGGAGATCTCCCAGTTCTCTGTGTCGGTGAACATCAGGACCTTCATGGCGGAGCGGATGTTGGCGTACTCCTTGCTGTCATCTCTGCCATCGCAGGTTGTGCAGTTACCCTGGGGAGGCGAAGACGTAGCGCAGTGCATGGGGTAAAGCAGAGAGCATCTGGGTGTCACCCTAAGCTATCCAGGCCTTCCCTCTAAATCAGCAAACCTTTTGTTTAAGGGATGAATAAGCAAAAGATGATGTTGAACCCGTGGGTCTGGTTCTGCCCTTTGGTGTATATTATTATTCGGTGCTCAGTCTTGTGACCTGTGCTTACCCTGCTGTCCCCAGCTACCCTGTGTCTGGCTGCAGTCAGCAGAGGAGAAAAAGCTCCCTGAGGTACGGATACATTCTGGAGGCTCCCACCAATTCAGCAAGAAAGCTGGGTCCCATCCTTGCTGATTCTATCATGGGCCAGCCTTAATTACACCTGCTTCTACAGGCTGCTCTGGATTGTAACACTTTACATACAGGGAGTGGGGCTGGAGATTGCTGGCTCTGTCCAACACATGGAACAGAGGTAGCTCAGTATCATATGCTGCTGAGAATGTGCCATCCAGCCACGTGCTCCTCCCCATCCATCACTGCTGCAAGAGCATTGGGTGGTATCAAACACCCCGGTTGTTTCCAAACAAGTGGTCTGGGCACCAAACACCAAAACCATCCAAGTGCATGTCCTGCTCCACAAGAAGAATGGAAATAACCTGTCTTATACACATGGGCTAAAGGTTCATAGAATCACAGAATGGTTTGGGTTGGAAGGGACCTTAAAGATCACTGAGTTCCCACCCTCCTGCCATGGGCAGGGACACCTCCCACTAGCCCAGGTTGCCCAAAGCCTCATCCAGCCTGGCCTTGAACCCCTCCAGGGATGGGGCATCCACAGCTTCTCTGGGCAGCCTGGGCCACTGCCTCACCCCCTGCACAGGAAAACATTTCTTCCTCACATCTCATCTGCATCTCCCCTCTTTCAGCTTAAACCCATTGCCCCTTGGTCCTATATCTCCCCTGCAATCAAGAGCCCCCCCATCTCTCCTGGAGCCCCCTTTCAGCACTGGAAGGTGCTGGAAGGTCTCCCCGGAGCCTTCTCTTCTCCAGGCTGCACACCCCCAACTCTCTCAGCCTGTCCTCGCACGGGAGCTGCTCCAGCCCTCGCACCATCTCCGGGGCTCCTCTGGCCCCGCTCCAGCAGCTCCGTGTCTGTCCTGTGCTGAGGACCCCAGAGCTGGGTGCAGCACCCCAGGGGGGGTCTCACCAGAGCGGAGCAGAGGGGGACAATCCCCTCCCTCGCCCTGCTGCTCACGCTGCTGGGGATGCCCCCAGGACACGGGGGGTTGCTGGGCTGCCAGCGCACATTGCCGGCTCATGTTCAGCTTCTCATCCCCCAACACCCCCAAGTTCTTCTCCTTAGGGCTGCTCTCAATCCAAAGAAATCCCACAAATGCTGTGGCTAAGACTCAGAAAGGCCATAACAAGCAGAACAGCTCTTGGGCTGCTTAGAAAACACCTCTCACTTCTCTCTCCCTTGCTAAGAAGCTCTCACCGCATCCCCTCACCAAACCTCTGCTCCGCTGTGCTCTCACCATCGCAAGGTAATTGTAATCTGTGGCTTTCCCAAGACCCAGCTTCTTCTTCTGCTCCATCGTCATTCCTCTCAGCATGCAGTAAAACACGTGGTAATTCCTCTCGTCCTGGGCCTGGAAGACCAAGCGTGAGAGCAAGAATTGCTTGAACATCACTGCAAATGTGAGTGACTGAGCGCTTGTTCCCATGCTTACAGATATGTCACCCTACCTGCCTGCAGACCCGGGACTTCTCCAGCAGATACTGCTCGATCTTCGCTCCCTCAATGGCCCCCCTTTTGTTGAAGTGGATGTCGATGTATTTCCCGAACCGGCTGGAGTTGTCGTTACGGATGGTCTTTGCATTCCCGAAAGCTGCGGGGAAGAATTGCAGTAGCAATAGAGAGGATCTGATATAGGGAGGATCATGGATCTGATCTCATGGGCAAAAAAAAAAAAATAATAATGAAAGGAATGAGGCTGAGAGGGTAAAAAGCATCCCCCAAGCCTTTCCCTTGAGTTTGGCTGGCTTAATTTCATCTCAGTGTGGGGAAACAGGATACACTGCAGATGACTGTCCTTGAGTGGAGCACAGAGAGAAAGGCATGGGAATGGGGTGACCTTATTATCCGGGAAGAAGGGCTGGGACAGCAGGATTTTGGCAGTAGCTGATGAAATACAAGAGGGTTGAGTGAGACTGGCAGGAGGATGCTGCAGCGTGCGAGGTGACGCTGTGCGGGAAATGACAGAGCTGCTGGTGAGTGATTTGGTGACAAAGAGGGAAAGGAAAGAGATTGTCCTTTAGGGAAATACAGAGGGTTAAGGCAACCTCCAGTGAGGACTTCTCACAGACTGTGAAGGGGAAGGTACCCACATCCATCCTCTGTGCGGGTGTGAACCACTGGCATGAGAGTTCTGGCCCAGAATTTATGCTCCAGGATTGCTGACAGGTGATAGAAATGCATTTGAAATACAGAGTGTCTCTTCCCCTCCATCCCAGCAGTGAAGAAGTGCATGTTCAAAAACAGCCTGTGTGCACGCCGTGCACCGTGACGCTTTACAACGCCGGGGGTCAGGCAGCCCTGCAGTGCCCCAAGAGCCTCGTTGCATCTTCATGCTGGGTCTGAAGGAAGCTCCAACAGAGCACAGAGAAGGAAAACTCAGCCAGTGACTTTCCTCTCTGATCTGCTGACATTATGCATGGAAAGCAGTCAGGATATTCACATTTCCATCAGTTCCTAGGGGGCTATCTACCAAGCAAAACACTGCTCTCTGCGAGTGTCAGGGGAGGTAAAAATAATGTTATTCTTTAAGGAAAATGCTATTTTTCTGCATAAATATAAAACGTCCATCTGGCATCACGTTGGGGCCAGAGGGTCAGATCACCTATTTCAATTACATCCATCCAATTAAAACCGTGGGGCTGATCACAGGAACAGCTTGCCAATGAACCTATTAAGGCTACAAACCAATTCTCATTATCTGGTTCTTTCTCAAACTGCCTTTATTTCTTTTTTTCTGCATTCTGCTGCCGTTCGCTGACCTTTGAAGGACAAGGTGGGGTTTGCTGTTGGGTGTTGCCAGCACAAGGTTTTTAGTCTGTGAAGCTCTGGTCAAATTAACGTCACGTTCTGTTGAACCAGCAAAGAATAGGAGTAGGATTTTTTTGCAACTATGGTCAAAGAAAATAAAAAAATACTTAGCTGAATGCAGCATTTACAGGATATTGGTGCTCTGCATACAGTTATAATTCCAGCACTGGAAGAAGTGGTGAGATTTTTCCAAAAGAACTTTGTGGCTTTTGTGACAAGCATTTTTTAAATCCCAGAATACACAGAGAATTAGGAAAAATTCAGGTTTCTGTTTGAAAATTTTGGGGGAAAAAGTATTGATACAGCTGGAAAAACCACATTTTTTCAATTTTAAGTGAATAAAAGAGTTGAAAAAAACTTTAACATCAGCTGAAATATTTTGCTTTCAACAATAGTTGTTAAAAATATTAATGGAAAATTAGAGAGCACAAATCAGAGAACATTAGCTTTGTGAAAATTAAATTCAGATGGAAGGAAACTGAATATGCTGTTTAACAAATGTTTACATCATTGCTTTTAATTTTTTAAAATTTAGTCATTTTTTGAAAGTAAAAATGCAAAAAAAGTGACTTATATTTGTCCATATTTTGTGTTTCCTGAATCTGTTCTTTTTGTGGGTTTTTTTTTTGTTGTTGTTGTTGTTGTTGTTGTTGTTTTGGTTTGGTTTTGTTTTTGGTTTTTTTGGGTTTTTTTCCACAGCAAAAAAAATGTCTCCATTATCTGAGGCCTCACCTTCCAAAATGGGATTTGCCTCCAGGACCTGTTGCTCAATCCAGGAGTGCTGACCGCTGATCGCCGCCAGGAACTGCAGAATCAGTTTTGTGCTTTCTGTCTTCCCTGCTCCGGATTCACCGCTGCAAAGGCAACAAGAATTGAGGTCAGTGAAATCTCTGCTGCATCCCTGACAGTGTCCCTTTCTCTGTCTCTAAAGGGACTGCTGTCTCTGTGCCTCTTCTGTTAGCACAGGTAGGATGAGACCACCAAGGATGGGTTTCCAGCATCCCAAGGACTGCTTGTAGGACAAATGGTAGGACACAGTATTGGACAGCTTCCAACCAAGATCCAGATTTGCTTCACAGTCCATTTGGCCCAAGCTATTGCTTGGGTTTGGGTCTTCCCAGCAAATTACACCATTCAATCATCACTGAGAAGGTCATAAAGCACTTTCAGACAGTGCTTCTCCAGGTATGACCACCAAACCATGAGCCTGTGGTTCAGGGGCTAGCTGATCCCATGGGGTATCTCCATCACCAGTTGAGCTGCCAAAATGCACCAGAAGGCGGACTGTGAAATACTGCCTTTTAGTGGCAGGCACTTTCACAGGTCTCCTAGGCTTGTCCTACCAAGGGGCAGGTAGGAGAGAAGGTCATGGGGCAGGAAGCAAGAGTTACTGCTCAAAGCTTTCTCTCCACTGAAAGATAACTTCCATTATCTTGAGATGGTACAAGAGGAAGGGCTGGGCAGAAATCTCTTGGTGTGAATCTATGGCCTGTCTGATATATGGGCTAGCCAATAAAAGTGATTGAAATGGACCTTCTTGGTGTTCAGCAACTAGCCCTGGCCCCATGACTCACTTCTCAGGGTTGGCCGGCCACTGGCACGCTGCCTCATGCCTGGCCTTGATTCTCCCCTGGGCCCGTATGATGCTTCTTTAGCCCTGCAAAATAATCATTACTACATGGTCTTTTCAGTCCCATGTATCTGAAATATCGTGCACGGGATGATCCGGAGTCCTGTTTTTATGCAACGAAACTTAGGGTAGGCCTTGGAGAGAGGTGGTGCCCTGAAAGCACAAAGACTGTCTGAGGGTTCAAACCTTGCTAGGATAGTGTTGGAGGGCTGAGGGAACCAAATCTGGTTCATCCCACCCTTTGGGATAGATACTGGAGTGAATTATAGCCGTAACCGTGACCAGGCATTTCTTGGTGCCCGAGGTTGGCCAGTCTGGAGTAGGGCCATGCTGGGCGACACCGGCTCAACCACAGGTCTAGTGATCAAGCTCGTCCCTGGCCCTTCCTTGTGCAGAATGTATAGATCTTTGCATCTTTGATGTCTGCAGGAGTTTAAATTTAAAAGGGGAGGTTAAAGATGGATATGAGATCTATTGGGTTCCCGGGTAGGTACCAAAGGGTTGATAAAGCATCTTTACTGGGAACAATGACTGCAGAGACCACCTCTGCACTGGGAATATGTGGATGGAAGACCTAATAGGTCATTCAGATTTCTATTTGATAAGCTGTTCTCTATCAACCATGTTGCAGGCACTCAGCATCCATTTTCAGGATATGGCCCATTTGGAAATCCACCAACTCACCTTATGATACAGCACTGGTCCTTGTTGTTGCGTTGCATGTTGAAGTAGCAGTTGTCAGCGATTGCGAAGATGTGTGGTGGCATCTCCCCGATCTTTTTGTTGGTGTACAGGCGTATCTGCTCAGGTGAGTAAATGGGTAGGAGCTGGTAGGGGTTTACTGCCACCAGTATGGAACCGGTGTATGTCTGGAGGAGAAGCACATGAAGGTTAATGGGGACAGTGAGATGTAACCGAGAGGCTTTGGCAGCTTGGATGGAGTATGGAAGCCAGAAAAATAAAGGCTTTCAAAAGCTGGATGAAAGATGATGTTCAAGTCAAAGATGCTTGCAGGGTGGAGCCTGGAGCAAAACTGGAATGAAAATCCCAAACTGTCTAAATCGGTTCATACTCAGCCCTGCTCATGCACAGCATGGATTCAAGTCTTAATTCATATTTGGGATGCTCCCCAGTTAAGATTCAGAGTTTTAAGCCAAGCTCATATTTGTAAAAATATCACCAGACCCAGCACATATCCATACATACCTATTGCATTGCACAAATTATGAGAAACTAGAGATGAATGAAACCTGAAGACCACTGCCACATCTCAAAGCAGGACCAGATGGATCCACACCATTCCTCACAGATGTCTGTCTAACCTGGTTTTGTCAATCCACACCAGAGCTGCTAAGCCTCCCTCTGCAATGGGTTCTTCTCTACCATCTCTGCCTAACCAAACCTTTCCATGCTGCAGTTTAAACCTTGTCCTGTGCCCTTGGATAACAAAGGGGTGTGAGATGTAGTCTACTTTCACTTCACGACTTCAAAGGAGCCAAGTCACCTTCTCCAGGTTAATTTTTGGCAACCAAAGTTACAAGATCAATCTCACTTTTCCTACCTCGTGGTACCAGCTGTGAAAGTGTCCCCACTGCTGAATACATTCTTTTCAGGAAAAAAAAATAATTTCAACATAAAAATAATCCCTATGGGTTTTTATCTGTGTGGCCCAAAACCATCAATAAGCCTTTGGCACAAAGCAGCAAAGTAGCACAGGCAAGGATGCTTGTGAACCGAGAAGAAAATCTCTCCGTGCTCTGCTGGGTGCTCCTCTTTGTACATATTGCAAACTCACTGATGGATAAAACAAGTCTGAGCTGTTCCTCATTTCAGAAGGCAGAAACATAGCTACCATTTCTGGGGAGAGGAGTGGAAAGGGAGGCATGGAGACACAAGCCCAAGGCTGAGTTTCTCCCATCGAGCCCAATCCCTCAATCAAGATGGAAAGGGCTGGAGTTTGGCTTTGCTTGCCACCATCTACACAACACTTCCTACCACCTCAGGCATCCTGACAGGCAGCCAGTAGGTGGCAATTGTGTCCTGTAATAGCGATGCTGAAAGCCCCGAGGGACTCATCACTTTCTAGCCTCGTGGCCAACACCAGAGAGCAACTTTCTGCTCAAGTCCCAGGTGAGGTTTGAATTTACAATGGTAACTGAGAAAGGATACGATAGTCTTCCCTGTAATAGGGCATTACATGACAGCAAAGGAAAAAAGCTCTTTAAGCTCAAGAACACAGTTGCCACAAACCCAAAGGGCAGAAATCATGTAGACTGAATGTTAGAAGGCATTGAAATAGGGGAGAAGTCCCAGAGCAGCCTCCCACAGGGACAGAGGAGGTAAGTTTAATGGTCAGAGAAGGAGTGAGCTCAATTTCTGAATGGAATTATGTCACCGAGGTCCCTAGTGAACCCCAAGATTCCTTCCAGCCCTGGGTGGGATACTTGGAAGACTGTTTTCCTCTTTGTAATTTATTTCCAGGTTAATTTTATGGGCATTTCTAATCTTCCTTGAGCCTCTTTTCAAAAAAGTCTGACTCTTTGCAGAGGTCCCTTAAATCCCTGTGTTTCAGCCTCGCTGGTCTGCCCTGCCCTGAATGCAGCCAGCGAGACTTTTAAAGGAGTTAACCATAAGTTGCAGGAATTTTTTCTGGGTGCTCTCGCTGACCCTTCCCTTGTGATCCACAAACCACCTTGTCAGCACAAACTCTTGCACTATTGCTTACTTTTGTAGGTCATTCCTAGTTGATAAATACGCAACAATTTGCCCAATTCTCACAGTTGACGGAATGCAAAACTTTGTCCACTTTGCTGATGAGGGGTCAAAGGGCACCTCCAAGGAAATATTCTCTCTCTGGTTTCTATTGCTGGGTGAAGGCAAAGCCCTCCTGTCTTGGGAAAATAAAATCTTACCGACAGGCAGGGGCTCTGCTGTAGCTGACCACAGGAACCGCATCTCTGAACAAACTCATTACTGCCTGCATGACCTACATTTTAATTAGCCCCAAACAAATCCTTCCTGAGTCTGCTTCCCTTGCTAACCAGAACACCACGGCTGACTTCATCTGGATTTTTATGGGGTTAAAGCTCTAACAAACATTACTGCATTTTGGCAACCCTTAGAGAGCATTTTTTCATCTCCAGATAAAGAGATTTAACCTCACTCATGAGTCCAAACTCCCCCACCAGACACTCTTGCTGTCCAGCATAGTTTCTTTTAGTGCATGCAAGCCAAACCATGGGCAACAAGCCCTTGTTGAAATTTTTCCCATTTGGCTGGAGAATTTTCTTTCCTTCCAGTTGAGGTCCTTACTGAGAAGCAATTACAGCTTTAACCATATTCATAGGTTGGGGAATTTCCAGCTCTGGGAAGGTGTCACAACTTCCCCATGAGGGTCAAGCTCTGTGGCAAAGGGGACGATGCTCTCGGTGCATCTGTGAAGCAGCAGCAATGGTGGTGCAAAGTAAATGAGAACGCCACGATGGTGAACAGAAAGAAGTGATCCAGTAGAAGGCATGACAGTGATTGCAAATGACAGCGCCAAGAGTCATACTTACCCTCCCGCCGCAGTTTGTCTTACAAGTAAAGGAGGAAGGAGAAAAAGGAAAATTATGTTTTGTTAGAGCAGAATTACACCCTTCACAAAGCTAAGGAGATGAGGAAATGAGAGAGACTGAAGTCCCATTGGAAAAGTCACCAGGCTTGGAAATTCTTTCAAACAGTGAAGGTAAAGTCACACTGAGCTTCACTATCTTTAAGACAGAGTAGATTATATCCCAGGAAAAAAAACACCTCAGGCGACTGGGTATCCCCTACCCACATGGTACCTTGGCTTTGCAAAACCACCATCAACATTTACTAAATTTGGCACAAATCTACTCCTCCTAGTGCCACCACTTTTAAAAGATGAGATCTAAAGTTGGGCTCCCGAACCTCCAACAACACAGTTGTAGATAGGGGTGGTTTACGTGCCTCTCTATCCAGCTATGCACTCTATGTCATTTTGAGAGCATCATTCTAATTTTGAGATTGCACTAATTGCTGTGTTGTGCTCAGGATCATGGGCTGGCACTCCAAAGCTGTGGATCAGTCAAGGCACAGTAACCTGGAAAATCTGAGATACAAAACCCTTTGTGGGATGAGACCTTCCCTTATGCAGTAGCTCTGTAGGACACATGGCACTGTCACCATCAGACCTGAAGAACTCGTAGAGAAACCACACGGTTACTGAGTCACTTCAGCCCAATCACCACCCACACTCACCTCCAGGTTAGCAGCTGCTCTTTGCATTAGCCCTTATTAATATGATGCTGCCAAACAACACCCTGCCCAGCGCTCGTTCATGTTGATAATCTCCCTGGATGCCTGTGAATAGCTTGGTGAGGGAACTCAGAGGCAGAGCTTTACTGAAGGAGCTGGTTTTATTCATGGGCAATCTGACACTGCACACGTGAAATCTTATCTGAGGACCTCTGTTCACCTAGTGAGGCCAAAGGCGCTTGCCTGATGACATAGGGACCCTGGGAGAGACACATGGACACCACCGAAAAAATATCTGACACGACCTCAGCTTCCTCTGAGAGCAAGACAGAGCTGCTGGAATCCACCTGGAACCTCTGCAGGGTGCCCCCAAATAGGAGAGAAAGGTGCAGCGCTTAATGGATAAATGCTCCCTGAATGACAAATTATTGGCTATCTGCACTTCTTCTTGGGTGGCATTCAGGTTGCTAGAGTTTAGCTACATCTGCCTTTGAAGATGGACATGCCCTGAGCTGGAGGAGGTTTCACTGTAGACCTCCAATGTGAACTTCTGTTCCAACATAAACTCTTCTGTGATAGTCAAGCTCCAGCCAGCTCTAAAGCACTCACCTCATCTGACAGGCACTTATTTTTGCACAGCTGAAAGGCAGCCTTGGCTCCATGACACTATTGATCATAGAAGCACAGAATCATGGAATCGTTCGGGTCGGAAGGGACCGTAAAGATCATCTAGTTTCAACCTTCCTACCGTGGGCAGGGACACCTATCATGGAATCGTTCGGGTCGGAAGGGACCCTAAAGATCATCTAGTTTCAACCTTCCTACTGTGGGCAGGGACACCCTGATACCTCTGATGACTGCCACGGGTGCTTAGTGCACGTGAAGACACCACATCAAGTATGAATTTTGCTAATTTGTCACTATAAACAGCCGACGCTCCCTAAAGAGAGCTCCAGGGAGTAACTCAGTTCATCTAACATCTGAATAATTTTCTGGTCATGGCTTTTTCTCTAAACTGACGATACAGGGGACCTAGACATCATGTACAACAAATAAGGTGCCTCAATCAGAGGTGCATTTGGGGGTCTCTATTCTCCTCCAAGCTTTGGGGAATTACTTTTCAGCAGCCATATCCCTTTCCTCTAGGACTGAGATCCCTCTCTGAAAGTGGAGATGGATATCTTCCAGAGCTGGGGGCAGGGGGCTGTCAACCGTATCAACATCCTATGTAACTGAGTGGCGTGTTCTCCATCATCGCTCAGCTCTAATCCAAAACCATCCTTTCAAAGGCACTGGACATCAATCAGAACAAGCAAACTTCACAGATAAAATCCTGGATACGGTCTGCTAGCTTAGGCTATCTGGGAAATCAGACTGTCCTGTAATATCCTCTGGCCTAAAAGTGTAGTTGTCTCTAGAACCTTTTAAAAATTATATTCCCAGGTGGCTTTGAAAAGGCTTTCAAAGGCACAGCAAACACTCACCTGAGTACCTGAAAACTGTAGGAGTTGAGAGCAATGCCAAATTTTCCATATTTTCCAAACATAGGCTGTTTGAGTACATTATCTAGTGGGAAACACATACACACTCCACACTTCTGCCCCAAGAAAGTGCACCAGAGTACACAGCATAGAGCACACTGATAAAACCAGCACAGACTTCGATGCTGACCCTTGTCCTGCTGGGGAGGTTGCGTTTGGGGTGTTAATGCAGAAAAGAGATGCAGTTCTAGCCGGCTCCCTGTAAAACCCTAAATTTCTGAATGTCTGGTTGGGTTGGCAAGGCTGCACCTGTGTCCACTGGGTATGACATGCCTGAGCTGACCTAAGGAAGGACACTGCTGTCCCCAGACATCAGCTGTCAGGATCCCAGGCAACCCAGAGCTAATAAGTCATGAACACAGATGGGGGAGATACTTTAGAGCTGTTCTGAGAGTTCCTCACTTCATTGTTCTCAGTTATTTCATGTCTGCACCTCCTCATCCTTCCTCCATCACTTGGACCTCCAGCAATCGTCTTCACCCACTTGGGTTGAATGAATTAATGGTCCAGAGGGAGAAGGCAGAAGGGCTACATCCAGCACGTAGTTGCCAAAGGCTTTTGCTTTAGGATTGCTACAGCATGCCCACGACCTGGGTTGAAATGGTTATTGCATGTGCAGAAAGTTACTACACGTCCCCAAAACTTCTACAGGAGCTACACAACGAGGTGGCATGGACTGTGCTTATTACCTAACTCATGGGATCTTTCACTGGGGCACCCATAAACTCTGCAATGTGTCTTCTACAGTGCAGAAGCCCTCCATCACTCAGGTCCAGGTGGAGGTAGAAACCCAGGTGCTCAGTTCAATCAGGGTTTCCCCCATGTGGGTTCCCCAGAGCTAAGGAGAGCAGGGGGGTGCAGTGCAGAGCAAGAGGTGGAGGTGGGGAGGACACTCACATAGATGAGATGCTCCCGATAGCGGATCAGCAGGTTCCGGAGGATTCCCGCTTCGTTCAGATCCCCCAGGCGGATCATGTCCTCCACTCCATGGATGGAGGTGGGATGCATGGGTTTGATGTGGCTGGCGTTCTGCGGGGAAATCCAGTGCTCCTGGGAAGAGAGCGAGGGCAGAGAAAGAGAAATGCAATTAGATACCACTGGGATGAGAGACAGAAGGATCAGGTGGAAGAACATACACGGGAGAGTGTTAGCACACAGGCCACAGCTTCTGTTCCTGGGGCATGGCAGTGACTCATTTGAAAGATTCCTAGCAGAAGAAAGAAAACATCTTTTGGTTTACTGGAGCACCAGGAGACATGAACACAAGCCATCCTGGCAGAAGCATCATTCAGGGCAGCATGGACATCCAGCATATCAGGGGAGTTTTTAACACATAGTAGATTTGTTCTCCCCTTCAAACAACTACATTTTTACTGGTTAACCCTCTGCCACAAAATATTGTCAAGAAGAGAAAACGTGATTTAGAAGAGGAGAGAGGGATGCACAGGGGTGGCAAAAAACACAGTTTTATCGGCAGTGTCATTTAGACTGATCACTTCTAAAAGCTAATACAAATTTTTTGCTGAACCAAATCACTTTCTGCCATCCTTGAAGGGAATGAGAGCATTCACAACTATCTCAGGCTGGGAAAAAGATTATAACAGAAAGCCTGAACCCCTGGTCACCCTTTTCTTGTGATATAGATGTTCCTCTAAAATAGGCCCCACTGCACAGAAGTAGAGGTGGGAAAGTGAAGGAGAGCCAGTGTTTGGGCACATTCTTTATTGGTGGGAGGTCAGGAAGGATCAGATAACAGCAGAGGAGTGGCAGGTCAAGGTGGGTTTGCTCAAAGCACTATTTAATTGTTCTTTGGAGGCCTCTTCTCATTGTACTCAAGAAGCTTCTCAAAATTTCACTCCCAGTACTGCCACAAAAGTAGGGACACAACATTATCTTGTCCTTACAAATAGAAAACTATGGCTCAGTTGATTCCCAAGGACATATGAGAAACCTGTGACAAAGTCATTCATCATGACCCTATGACCCCTGGCCTACCCAGGCTTATAGAGCTGAAGAAGGGTCATCACAATCTTTTATACGTACATTGCCTTCATCATCCACAACCTGGATCTGTCCAGAGTCACACAGTTTAACCACCGCTCCAATGGGGACATCGAATTCCCGTCCGGTTTTGAGGTCCATCCACACATAATCCCCCTGGAAACAAAAAGAGGACAGTTACGCTCAAAGCAGCAGAAGGTTTGCCATCCCTTGGGATACAAGTTGCTGATTTTTTGTACCCAAATCATTGGTACAAGTCAAATGACTTCCTTTGCAAACCACAAACCACCTTTTTTTCACAGATGCACCACCCCTGCAAGGTAACAGCAGTAGGACACGCTCCACACAGCATACACCCACAGCACTGTCCCTCCGTTTCATGAGCTCGTAAGTGTTTGTTGGCCACAGACTGCACCCAGTAAGGAGGTTAGAGAGTAGTGATACAGGCAGAAAAACCCACTGAGGTAGAGGTTTCCCTCTGTGCAATGTACAAACCTAGAAAATCACGCTTAGGAGATGGTTTTGAGCTCTGGAAAACCTTGTCTGGAGGCATGTGGCGCATTTTTTCCACCACTATCAAATATACATTCCCCTATCTTGGGGACTGGTGGAAAGGGGATGACTGAAGAAGGGTTAAGAACATACCAGAGAGGTACATATACTTCTTCTAGGATATCTCCCAGCTACAATGACTTGTAGGTGAGCTCTTTGCATTTAATACTTCTCAGCAGATTTTATCTACTGTGAGCATGTCCAGTTGCTTCCTGAAGCTGTGCAAAGTTTTAGCATCCATAGTCTCAAAAGGGAGATGGTTTTGAGCTCTGGAAAACCTTGTCTGGAGGCATGTGGCGCATTTTTTCCACCACTATCAAATATACATTCCCCTATCTTGGGGACTGGTGGAAAGGGGATGACTGAAGAAGGGTTAAGAACATACCAGAGAGGTACATATACTTCTTCTAGGATATCTCCCAGCTACAATGACTTGTAGGTGAGCTCTTTGCATTTAATACTTCTCAGCAGATTTTATCTACTGTGAGCATGTCCAGTTGCTTCCTGAAGCTGTGCAAAGTTTTAGCATCCATAGTCTCAAGAGTTTAGCTACAAATACCCTGAAAAGCTGTGTCCTTTTACATGCTGAAAATGCACACTGCTCTTAAATTTGAGACCTCTTTGTTCTTATTCCGGAAGACACAGCAAGAAGTTGACCCCTATCCACTCACTCCATGTCACTGGCGATCCCAGAGACCTCCTAGTCTGCTGGGCAGGGACTATCTGCTCATCAGCTCTGTGGATATTAAATTACTCAAATGCAAAACGGCTTTTAAAGAAGCTGTTTTCCTCAGTACAAAAGCAAACCCCAAAATAACCCCAAACTAAACTCCCAAGCAGGACCCACACTCTTTGAAACAAGGCAGAATTATTTCCCACTACTGAGCTCAACACAAAGAGGTGCTAAAATTGGGAGACACCAAGTTAAATTAGTGAGGCACATTTGCACCAAGCAAGCAAATGTACTTCTTCATGCATCTAAGTTTAATATTGTGAACTTGTATCCCCATCTAATGCCAAATCCTGGGGGCCAGCTCCACTTATACCTATTAAGCACAAGGCAAATGCAGTATCTACCTTCTGAAGTCCTGAAAAACTGCTGGGAGAAGGGAAATTGAAAAACAGGAGAGATCACTTTGCATTTGCTCTGATATAACCCCTTTCCTGAGCATCCACTATCGACCATTTCTGTGGACAGAGTATTCATAGACTTGGTTTGACCCAACGGGCTGATGAACAACCTTCAGCTCCACTCTGGGCAGCGGGAACTGGAGACATCCACCAATATAAAACACGGTGAAATCTTCACCATACAAGTCACCGCTCACCAGGACTTCTGAGAGATACTAACCTGAGGGTGTTATGATGCCCCATCCCTGGAGATGATGTCCCATCCCTGGAGGGGTTCAAGGCCAGGTTAGATGAGACTTTGGGCAACCTGGGGTAGGGGGAGGTGTCCCGGCCTGTGGCTGGGGGTTGGAACTTGATGATCTCTAAGGTCCCTTCCAACCCAAACCATTCTGTGATTCTATGAGTGCCACAGGGATGTAAGGCTATACCCAGGGACCCACACATGGAGAAATACTACACACGAGGAGTCCCCAGCCACTTTATGGTAGACTCCACCCTTGGCAGCTGCTTGCTAGGTTTCACCTAGGATATCAACAGGATATCAACAAAGTCATCCTGCTTACACGGAGCTAAGGATCCAGCTCTTAGTTTGTTTTTTTTTTTTTTTTTCCTCAGAGGGTTGTGCTACAGCACTGTTGTAAGTATCTTTACCCAGCTCATAAAAATTACAATATTCAGATTTTTTTCTCATTAACTGCCTTACCCTCGCATCCCATAACTCAGTTAAAAAGAAAAAAAAAAAAAAACAACCAAACACAACTAATGAATGCAGTAAGTCATGCACAGATACATTACAAATCCACTTATATTAATATTTATTTCCTAACTCCTTTGATCCAAGACTCTCAAAGCATTTCAGAGTATTCAGCACTGTTTTAAGCACTGTTTTATCCTTGCTGCATAGCTGGGCAAATTCATGCACAGGGTGGGTAACTTGATCAAGGTGTCAGCAAACAGAAGAGCCAGGTTGCTCAGTCCCTGCTCAGCAGAAAGCCCTTCTGACACCTCAGCAGCTGTGCAAAAATCACTCTCAATCAAGAAAACAAGAATTATCATGCTGCTTTAAAAAAAAAAAATCTCAAATTTTGAATAGCTGTAAAGGCAGACTGCTTCATATGTTCTGTTATCACACAGCTGAGATGAAAAGGGACTCTGCTCTCTCCATGGTAAATTGATACTGTACTTCCACTAAGCCAGCTCCTGTGCTTTGCCTGCCTAATGCACAGAGTGCTCGTCCCCTCAAAATGCTCTTTCTGAACACATTAAAGTGCAGTTCTTAATACTGGTGAAAAAAAGCGAGTCTTATGGGATGGGCTAAGCTGGTAAGATCAGAAAGATTTGGGGGGTTAAAAAATAACATCACTTGTTAAGACTGCCGACCTATTTCCTTCCCTGACCTTAATGAATTTGATATAAAACCCATGGAAATAATTTACATTCCTTCCGCTGATGCAATCACCTTCGGATCAGCCCCCAAAAAAGCAGCAGAAATATTGGGGATTTCAGGGCAAATCGGGGTGATTCATGTGTTTACCACCTCGGGTGGACTGGTTTATAAGTTGCATAACCTGCCTCATGCCTGGACTGATGCAGTTTATTTTCCAACACACACGACAGAGTACTGGGGAAGAGGGGATACCACCAATCACTTTACAATATCAACACGGTCCAAATCTTCCACCTCAATGCAGCCACTGGGTGCTGGTGTCCCACCAAACACTCTGGGGCAGACCCTCAGGACCTCACACGCTATGGGCAGTGACAACCAAACAATGGTGCAAGAGGAGGAAACACCACGATGGGTGCACACACAGATCAACACAATTCATGAAGAGGATCTTTAGGAGGAGCTTCCAAATGCAAAGAGCCAGAAGGTTGCACCACAGGGAAGCTGCAGTGCTTGAGGGGGGGGGTGAACCAAGACTCGGAAGGAAGGTGAGAGAAGCTGGCACAAGCAGTATGAGGATCCCATCAATCAGTGAGACCAATTTCAGAGTAGTCTGAAAGCTCCCAGCCATGCTCAGAGCTTGGGACCCCCTATCTTACCGCTAAAATGGTTGTGGGCTTCAGGGCCTGGTTGACGTTGCGGAGGAGCGTCCACTTGCCCTGGTCTCTCTCCTGATCTTCCACCACCTCAGGGCATGGCTGCACAAAAACGACTTTCTTCCTCTTCAACATCTCCAAAATCTTGCGGTGGAATTTGTCCCTCTCTCTGCTTTCTACGTGTATTCCACCATGAACGCCAGGTGGGTTTAGACCTCCAGCGTGACCATGCCTGCTGCGTGCAGGACACTCTCTGACCTGATTCCCAATATGGCTCTTGGGAAAGATCTTCTCCTAGCAGAAAAACCATGCACCAGCCATGGTCCTCCACCAGCCGGCTAGCACACTTGCTCCATAGAACTGGTGCTGCAGGAGTCTCAAAGCAAACCCAACAGCTTTGCTTATCTTCGCTTAAATTCTTCCAGTCTCTCCAGTAAGGGATGACCTGAAGGACACTGCAAGCATACGTTCTGGAAAAACGACTGCAGGATTAACAGGAAACCTCTTCATTTCCCCCTGACTTCTCTCCGTTACCTTCCTTTCTTAGTGAAATAACCGTCTGCCAGCTTGAGGACTTTCAGCACAGAACACCCTCGGGTGCTTATTAATCCACAAATGCAGTCCGTCCCCATGCAACACATGGCATTTAATTAACCTAATACCTTTACATACCAAATTAACCAAAGCGCAGCGGGAACTCAAAACCAGAGGCCATCTGCATTTTCTTTAAACTGATCGCCTTGAGTAGATCCATGGCAACAGAATTTTAAATAATTGAGTGGAAGGTGTTCAGAGCAGCACAGCCTCTGTGCCTATAGGTGAGAGGAGAGCCTGGGCTGTGGATGAAAATGTGCTGAATGTGAGGACCACGGAGATAACGAGGTTGCACAGGCTGCTCTACAGACCCACTTCTGGAATCTCTTGCTTTATGTAGGGAGGACTATTCTTGAAAGGACTAATCAGGACTGCTGGTCCAACCAGAAGAACACAACATTTTAGTCATCCCTGCTTTGCTTTTTCCTGGACTATCTTAGATATATTTGAGATTTCTAATTTTCATCTAGGAAAGGCTTTTCTGCTCATTTATAGAATTTAAGGCTACTTTAGCTGGGCCCCAACCTCTTCCATGGAAATTTTGAATCTAACTCGGCATCGTTTGTATAGACCAGAACAATGCACAACTGGACAGTGGTGTAGCTGCTAAGCTTTCCATGTCATTCTCATTTATCACTGTTTTCATGCAAAACTCTACCGATGCCTTGGTTTGACAGGGTTTTGAATCCATTTGTCTATGATGCAGAGGATATATTCTTGATGGAAAGTTATCTAGAGGAACAAACATTCTAGAGGAGTCACCAAGGACAATCACAGATGATGGGTTCATCAAACTCATATCGAGCTACTTCTCATCAGTGGACAACAGTGAGGCAATCCTTGCCCAAAGGACAGACAACGGATTAATAACTTTGTAGATTTAAGACACATTACAAAGTCCTGAAACAATAAGGTGTCTCATTCTCGTAGTTGCACATGTGATTTAAGGAAGAAGTTGAGTCTCATGGATAAGAAGGCAGGTTAGAGATTAACAAGATGGATGTCTACAGCCCACCCAATGAGCAAGAAAAAAATGTAATAGCAATCTAAGAAGACACAGATGAAGTGTAGCAATCTCATGGGAGATGTTTACCTCCAGCATGATCCAAACACATAGTGCTATAAATGACTGCATTTTTGCTCCCCTAGAAAGTACAAGATGGATGTTCAATCAAAGCTAATAATCAACGAGAGGACGCATGTAGAAGGAAGGACTGAACAAATGTATATAAAAAGACCCACAGGATGGGCTCTTTGGATTTGAGCTCAATCCTACAGGTGCTCTTTGCTCATCAGCACACCTTTCCTTACTGCCATACCACCGCAACTGGTGCAGTGTGGGAGCAGCAGATCTGAGGAAGAAGAGCCAATGTATTTACCTCACTTTGCACCAGAGAAGACATTACAATCATCACTCAGCTACACCCTGTACCATATTTCTGAGGCTGTGAATCTCTGTGTGCTGCCAAAGAGTAAGCTAAGGAGCAGAGGAGAGGAATGACTTGCCCTAGGTTATCCTCAGAGCAAAGCAGAGATGGGAGCCCAGGGGGCTGAATCCAGTCTCTGCAGTCCTATCACACGAGTGTGCTTATTTTTTCCCTGACACTGGGGCTGCTGAAGGTCTATAATTTCACACATTTCCATTGCAGACTTTTTACATTGCTCCTCTACCAGCAGGAAATTTTCTGGGGACTCGTTAGCCAGAGTCACACGTGTCAGCCAGAGGCACTCAGCGTTTGCAGGGCTGTCTGCCTGAATGCCCCGAGCATGCTGCCTCCTGGAAATGGGAAATCCCATCCCTCTGAAGGGAAATCAGCCTTCCTTCTGTATGCATCAAGGGGAAGAGCAACAGCACTAAGCCTCCTATCAGCTTGCTTTTTCTAAGGGAACGTGCTATAGCTTATGTGGGAAACAAATAAATGCACTTAGGACAATAAGGGGAGGGACATAATGAAGGAAAACAAACCTTCAGCTGGCTGGCAGCCCGTCAGCAATGCCATCCGGTTTAGGTTACAGCTCCCCAGGGTAACATTAGACTCTTCGCTGCAGAGATGGAAGTATGAGCCCAAAGAGCCATGGCAGACCCTGATCTGATGATTTACAGCATCTCTGCAGCAGCGGGCACAGCTGAGAGCAAGGTCCTGCTGTGACACACTTTGTGCACACACAGAGTAAGGGGCAAACGCTTATCCTAAGGAACTGATGTGACCCAGGCAATAGGTTTATGCTGCTGCTGAGACCTGAGCAACCATGGTGGCGTGGACCTTGCTGCTGGCTTAAAAAGGGAAATACCACCTGCAGGAACCACCCTCACAGCAGGTGAACCACTTTAATTTAATGAAAGCTTGGTTTTTGTTGTCCCAGCCTGTTTTTCAGACACCAGAAAAAATGCACCAGATGCTGCCAGCACTGAGGAGGTGTTCTTGAGCTGGTTGTTTTGCAGCAATTACTGCAAATCTGAGTTATTCAGTGAAACAGGTCAGGTGGGACTCAACTAACCCAGTGCACGTGTCCACCTCTGAGCAAGACACCCAGATCTCTGTTAGATGATCATTGGAATATTCTATTCTATTCTATATTCAAGGGAGAGAAAGAGGCACTTCCATGGTCACCTCTGCATAAAGCAGGTAATTAAACTAGATCACAAGATACCGACCTAAAGAGGACAGTTTGGAGGTAGAAATCTACAGCACAGGTGTCCAAAGCTAGCTAACGTGGCTCCTACCCCTAATGTTGGGGACCCTAAGGGCTGATATTCAGGTAAATGCTGAAGGATATGGAAAATCACTGGTTATCAGAGGCTGTCTGTGGACTCAGGTCAGCAGTGATCCACCAATTACTCCCTGCAGCTCTACACTCACTTTTCTAAAACAGGAAAGATGATATCCAGCATACTCCCAGCTCCAAATTTCAATGTCATCTGGAGAGCAGACCGAAATCTGAATCATAGAATCATTAAGGTTGGAAAAGACCTCAAGAATCATCACATCCAACTGTCAACCCAACACCACCCAACCTACTAACCCATGTCCCTAAGCACCTGGATATCACCTGTCTGATGCAACTCAGCTCTCGATTACAGCGGTGTACCCTGCTCAGTTTAAGGGAGCTTCTCCTGGATGCACAGCTGTGCAACCCTGGGGAGAATCAGGGCTGCTCATCTCTGCTCTTTGCACTTGGGGGCCTACAGGAGAGATGGGGAGGCACTCTTGATCAGGGGGTGGAGGGATAGGACAAGGGGTAATGGTTTTAAGCTGAAAGAGGGGAGATTCAGATTAGATATTAGGGAGAAATGTTTTCCTATGAGGGTGGTGGGGCAGTGGCCCAGGTTGCCCAGAGAAGCTGTGGATGCCCCATCCCTGGAGGGGTTCAAGGCCAGGCTGGATGAGGCTTTGGGCAACCTGGGCTAGTGGGAGGTGTCCCTGCCCGTGGCAGGGGGGGGGAACTGGATGATCTTTATGGTCCCTTCCAACCCCAACCATTCTGTGATTCTATGATCTTTGGTGGCACAGTTGCCACTGACATCAAGTAAAGTTGGGAAAGGAAGAAAAAGCTTGAATTTCTACTTAAAACCAAACCATAGTGCAAGAAACACGCATGCTGGTAGTCGGTAAAGCTCATTATTTTGCTTTTTCATAAATAAATAAGATTCTCTTTCCAATTTCTTGTAGCACATCAGGCACCAGCTGTCAGCCAAAGTAATGTGCTACACACAAAAGCTTTCTGAAGCAAAGGCAGAGACGCAAGAAGGATCGTTAAATAATTCAATAATCAATGCACCACTCGCTCATCCTGTAACTTTGATACTGACAGGAAGGAAAAAACAACCCACAAATGTGGCACCCATCCCAACATTTTCCCATTTGGTGTTGGGGGGATAGTCAAAGGCTCTGGGACCAAAAATGATGGATTTAATCAGGTATGTAGGGATGCAACTGGGAGTAGCACAACAAGGGTCAGCTCCCAGTGATGCCTGACGTCATCCCTGGGTTTTGGCAAGGAGGTTGTTGTTGACTATTTGGGACCTCTTGGCTCAGGAGTGGATTTTAAGCATACAGACAAACACGGAGATAGAAGATTTAATCCGTGACTCCTACCGCATTACTGTTGTGGGAGAAGTGGAGAATCCGGCAATCCGTTGACGTTACAAGCAGATTAGGCTGGCCCTGGGCGTCACCCACCCTAAATGCCGTGCCAGAGCACTGTGTGCCAGGTCTCACACAAAAAGCTGGTGGCCACTGCTTTGGGATGTGATTGGAAAATCTGCTAAGATGCAGAAGTGGAACAGGAAATGAAGACTGAGCCTTTTAGCCCCATGGCTAGGTCCTGTCCTAAATGTAAATGGAAGAAATCCAGAGGAAGACGACAGAGCAATCCCTAAGATGTACAAATCTGGAAAACTGGAGAATGAAAAAAATAAAACCAGGAGGAATGAGCAGGAAAAACTCCTGAACAGCCTGAGGGGGAGTGCTGTAGGATGGAAGCATGTAATTTAGTACTGTTAAACCAAGACGTGTTCCTTCAGGTCCTAGAAGTAGAGA